GGGGGTCATTTAAAAAAAAAAAAAAAACTTGAAACAAAGTGTCAGTCGTTGACCTGATGCTGTGACCTCACCATGACCTTTCCATGGCCTTGACCTTTGGCCGGAGCCGCTGATTAAGAGTTTGGCGTGACGTTCTGCTGAGGCGACGCTGCAGAGCGTTCACGACGAGGGCGACTGGAGGAGGACGACTTCTCTTTTACAACGACAAGTCATTCTACAAACTTTTTTTTTCCGGAATTCCAGAAATCAGTGAGAGGCAATTTATAAACTGCCATTTTCCAAATCTTACATAATCTCTAAACCAGATTACTGTCGCTCTTCATCGTCACATTTGCAGATAAACAACTCGTCTCTTATTTGCTTGTTATTCAGTGACCTTTGACCCTCGCCTTGAGACCGCAGCTAAACCTCTCATCAGTGGCTCGGCCTCGACCTTCTATGCCTGCTATGAACCCAGTAGTCTTAATTCTTTTCTCTTTGCTTTGAACCAAACCAAACGGAGCCTTGTGTCAATACTGTCGTGTTGCAGCCTCACCTGGGTCGTCAGAGGAGAACCGAGGAGATTTTAGTTATTTGACCCAGGGCGGCTGCAGCTGTTAGGCCCTTTGAGTGTGTGTTTTATAATCAAATGCAATGTGTGTGTGTGTGTGAGTGTGTGTGTGAGATCATTTCACATCATGCCTCATTTTAGACAGAAACTTTTTTTATAAAGTGCAGTAGAAGAATTAGGTTAATGAACCAAACCGGGCTGGTTTTCCTAAAAGGAGTCTGAGGTGGATTCCTGGTGGATAAAACAAATCTGAATAAATAATAATTTGCTGTCATTGCTCAGACTTCCTGAAGAGATTCATGTAAAACTAATCAGAGACGCAGTGTTCGGTCAAAGTGTCACTTTTAGGAAAACTAGTCCTGGAAGGAGACGTGAGAGCAGCAGTGTTTTGAAGACATGTTGTAGACATGTTTTGCTGATCTGTAATGTTGATGTGTGTTGATATGAAACATGTATGTTTGTTGGGATCGGGGGAGTTTGGAGGAAACACAAACCCTGACTGTATCAAGGAAAGATTCATTTGACTGTGAAAATAAAACTGATGCTGTGGCGTCATGTGAACCCTCAGCGTTGTCGCCACGCTCGTCTTCCTGCTACGTTATTAACAACAGGGACGTTTAAGAAATAGAATTAGTGACGTGACCGCCGAGACATTAAATATAAAATGTGCAATTTTCAGGAATTTTATTTGGATTAAAAACTTTGAATGTTTGGTTACACATGAAATACCTTTAACACACACATCATTACATTGATGCAGATGAAACCTGTAAGATTTTCTCTCACGTTGAAATGAAATTAGTTGTGACGACGCTGTAACTCAAACCTAAAGAACGACTCAGGAAACAAAGACACAGAAATACGAGATGCTGTTTTTGAAATGTATCGTTGTAAAAAAGGAAATGTTGAGGAACAATTAAAGATAGCGAGTAAAGGTACAATAATTTGTCATGCGCCTCATAAATGTTTGAGAACCAGCCTGATATAAAACCTCACACCAGTGAATAATGTAATACTACGAGAAAAATATCGTGATTGAGAAGAAACATTACCAGAATAACTCCGACGGGTTCTTATCACTCGTCATAAACCGTCTCTAGTTCACTCAGACGTTAAATCCAGGTTATAATCAACGATGAATTTAATCATTTTAATCTGTTTAATACCAATTAAGTTTATTGTTCGTCACTGTTAACGATTTGACAAATTTGAAATTGAATCTAAAAACAAGTTTCTGTCATCGCTCCTTCACATGAAAAATGATCCAGTTCAACGGGAACGTAAATCTTTTTTTAAAAAGCTTTTTAGAATTCATCCATGAAATATGTTCAATCTTTCATAAATATCTACACGTACCAGAGACAACTTCACAATTCAGAGAAGGTCGATATTTGTTCTTCGGATCAACAAATTGTACAGTTTGAAAAATATTCAGCGTCTGTTTCCTGTCAGGACACGAACTACGTCCTGTCTCTCGTCTCACCGCTGAACAACGTGGATGTTTCAGTCAGTTTCTAATCTGCTCGTGATGAGACGCTCTTCATGTTTCACTACGTTACAGATGAAATGAGTGACGCAGGCGTCCCCTCGCCGAGCTGGGACCGTCCCGATCAAAGCTGGACACTGACGCAGGATGAGGAGAAAAGAGAAGCTGAGATCGTCTGAAGACGGCGGCTCTTTAAGGCAGACGCAGTGAAAACACTTGTCAGAGTCCATGAATCAAATCCAAAATAAAAGTCAAATCCAGTTCCACAGAGGAAACATCCGTGACGACACGATACCAGTTCTACTCCGTCGTTAAGCCGGCGAAGGTCCGTCTCGTTCATTGTCGTGTTCATTCAGTTCAGTGACAAAACGATCTTTAAAAGCCGACCAGAAAATTAACTGATCAGTTTTGGGGAAAAAGAAATTAAAAAAAAAAACACTGTCCGTGTGTCTGTCGGTGGCGGCGCAGTTTCCCGCCCGTTTGACCGAGAGCAGCTGCGGACGCAGGAAGTCAATCTTTCTTTAAAAATCCTCTCTGCTGTTTCCTCGTCAGAGAAGAGAAATGTAGTTTTTCGGAAATATCCCACGTCTCCCACCCACGACTCCCAGAATCCACTGCTCATCCACAAACTCCACCTGTGTTATAATGTCACCGACCTGCAGGGGGACACAGAGGGAGAGGGGAGCTGTTTTTAAGTCTGTGGAATGAACATTGTTTTTGGCGACAAATAAAGAATGACGACGTGTTTCCACTTCCTCCAAAATACGTTGAACACAGAGGATTGAGACGATTTAGTAGCTGTCATGTCGTCCATCTTTATTTTCAGTCTGCGGTTCAGAATGAGATCATGAAACCTCTGCTACTCGCGACGCTCTCGTACTTTTAATGTGAGCTCGTCCTCGCTCTCCGCCGTGAAGTCAAACAACGCTTTGCCCGCCCCTTTAACCGCCGTCAGCTGGTCTGGGATTGGCTGGACTGGAAACAGGAAGAGAAAGTAATGGTCAGAAAAACTGGCGGCAAAACACAGAGCAAGTTCATCGCTGATGATTCCGCCTGCTACAGGTCGACTCACATCCTGATTCATCAAGATGGATTCCACTACATTTTTCTGAAGACTGACTCGTGAACAGACCAATCAGCACCTCAGCAACTAACGTCTCTGCTGTGATTGGATAAACTGTTTAACCCCGGTGCGTCATTTTGAGTGCTAAACCCCGCCCACCTGGTGCAGCCAGGGAGATGAGTCAAACCAGCGGGAGAATTTTGTAAAACACTATTTGTCCCGTGTGTGTTTGTGTGAGTGTGTGTGTGTGTGTGTGTGTGTGTGTGTGTGTGTGTGTGTGTGTGTGTGTG